ATTCGCGTCTGTGATCAGTTTGTTCGTTAACAAAGCGTGACTGTTTTCCGTGTTTCAGGAGTTTACTAGTTAAAAATACATCGGGCGATGAGAGGAGGTGGTTCATGGTCCTGATCAATGCTCTGGAGAACGCAGATACATAGATGATCAACAATAGCATTGTTAATCGACAGTTAATCAATGAAGACCACGCCTCCGGAATCCGAGTGACCTCCTCGTTCAACTTCATATCACTATCTATTCTTTCGTGATCCAACGCGAAATCGATGTAATTATTCTATTAGTTTGGAAGTCAAGTACATTTTTTGTTGTTTTCTGTTTTCCTGTAAATTATTATGGGGAGGGGTATACAAACCTTTGGACGAAAGTACATAATCTGTCATGGTTCTATCGTTCAGAGAAGTTAAGACATCAAACAATGTGTTCAATACCATGATAGCTATAAATACCGATTCAATCATTTTCTTAAGATTGGCGTCAGGATCTGATAAGTTGGAGAATTTCCTGTTGTAGAAGATTTCATGCTTCTAATAAAAACACTTTTACATCCAGTCGTCTTCCTGTGTGATTAATGTCATGGGATTTTAAGAAAATCTTAAGTATAAAGCTGCTTTTACGGAAAGACCTGTGGTATTCGTGAAATCATGAATCTTTAAGAAATGCTGATGTCATATATTAATAGGATAACCATCTTACCTGGGGGAGGGGGCGTTATGTTTCCGAGAAAGTGACAATCCTGTGAATGTTGTCCATCTATAATGTTTACTTCGCTCATTTTGATCTGGTATCAGGCGGCAGGTCTTCCGCATGTTGTCCATAGAAGTTAATGACGCTCGCTGTGCGAAATAGGAAATAAAGTATAACACTAACTAGCTATCTGATACGTTCTAGAATTATCAAAATGCTTGTTTCTTACATGACGTTTTTCTTATTCAATGCATTACAGGTTGGGATCATGGCGAACTTCGATTTGCGAGGATGCACGGCTGATATATGTCTGATGTATCAATATCGGACTAGAAATGACACACACACACATTTTTTTACCTAAACATTTACATCAGGAGATAGTAAGGTAGAAGGACTGGGGTACGACATCCATTTTTTTAGAGATAAGTGTAATTGCTTTGACAATTTATAGCAGAAGAGGTCGGTTGACTTCCGATGTTGTATACAGTGCTAAAACGTCTAGTATATACATAACCTGTACCTAGCCATTTTCCTGACTTTCTGTTGAAGCAGTCGAGTCTAGTCAGCTGATGTCATTTTCACCTACTAGATAATCAATCACGTACATGGAGATTTCAAGTTTGTCCTCCGTGCGAGCGTAATCGATACACCGACAAGCACGTGCAGCTTGTGATTACCTTGACTGACTGTGATTTCCTATCGAACTACTGTACTTGACGTTTTGAGTTAATATCCTGTGAATTTTTTTCCGTCGGGCGATGTTGCCAAAAATAGTGACAAGACAACAAACTGTAAATCAAATGTACGATTATGGACATAAACTGGTGCATATTTAGTGTTGACACGTGCACATATTCTTAGGCAATAACATATACTTGGAAATAGATCCAAGTTCGCAGTAAAACAACTGACGTGATAAAGACACGGACGATGAACACAGAGACCAAATATTGAATCCTCGTTCCCAATGAACCGTCTCGGTTAGATGATGACCTTAGATTCGAATGATGATAATTAACCAATCCTTATCATATAACTATGATGTGAAGGATCACAACTGATCCTGTAAACCTGATTTCCTGCCGTGTCCCTGTTCACAACAAGTGCCATTATTGTATTTAGTGCTCAACACATTTCAATTTCACACCTGCCATGTCTATTGGAAGAGTCTGCCGTCATGGTCCAGTTATTGTGAGGGTGTGTCATTTGTGGACCGAGCAGAGTCAAGGGTAGGATGGTATCACTTATTGGGCAAGTCCATTTTAAAACAGTCAAGTTACAACACAATTTATTTCCGTTATACAACAGTTAAAAGGACATTCACATCCTTACCATCATGTACACACAGTTCAGGATTAGCAGGGTCACCTACTCATTCTTCTAGAGCAAACAAGTGTTTGTTGTTTTTCTTATAACGTCATCATTCAAATACCTGTAATATCAACTATAACCTACGACTTCAACTTTACAAAATTTCGATAATTTTACATTGGTGTCTAATTAATAGTTAGTTTATTTTAATCTGAGACCTAAATCAATTTTGAGATGATGAAACTTGACAAAGCACATGTCGTTAGGCTAATTGATTACATGCGTCGCCAAATAATTTGAACAGAAGTTTTGATCTCTTGACAAGCCATTGTAATCTGTTGAGTTGGGTAACTACATTTCTGAGATATTCCTAATTGACTAAAGGTTGCATTTCTTTTCGAATTCGTATTTCATTTTCAAGTGCAAATTTGTTTTTAAAATTTGATGGTTATGTCATCTTGAGAAATTCTCGATCCCACTATTAAATCACGGACTGAAACTAATTTGTGATAAAATGGTTGTGAAATCATCTACACGTTATAAGGGGACATATTATACGTCCATAACTAGTGTTTGTATACAAGAGGAGATCTCCCGATACCTCCCGAAATCTAATGCGTTAGCATTCAGCCGATAGGGGTCGATAATCCACGGGAGTGATGTCTATAGAGAACTTCCCACCACATTTAACACAGAGGGCTTAGATCATTTAAAAACAATTCTTATCTGATCGTGTTTCTCCTTTATTTGTTTTATGTTTCAAACTGCTGTTGAGTCGTTTATCAGCGTGGCAGGTATCATTTTTGTCGAAGGAAACCATGGCAAGTCCGTTATATACTGTTTAATCTTTAAGGTGTATTTTTTTTCACAAGGTCTTACCTGAGATTTTACGTTTCACACAACACATTTCTAAAGACTCAACAATTATTGAATAATTGTTCATATACATTGTCAGCACTATGATATGATTTTAAATTTTGAATTATTTAGTATAAAAAAAAATAAAATTAAGATTTTCTTAATTAGAGATACAATGTACATGTATTATGAAATAATGAAAAATCTCCAGTATATTTTGTAATGGAAATAAAGATGAAAACACCTAATGAGCTTGTTGATGATGAAAACAAGGCTTGATCATCGAATTACATGTTCTAAGGATTGTATCTACCTGACTGAACATGAAACAGATGTACTGAAAAACAGAAAACCCTGATCAACAATGTGAAATATTCGTTTTAAATAATGTCATTTTAATACCATTGTACTACTAATAGGGACCTAGTGCACCTCCACATCAAGATTTTGATATTTTTTGACATCACTATGGATTTTCCCCAGTGGTCTCTTGGACTTTTAATTATTAGGCCCTCAGCATCACTAAGGAGTCCTTGAAGAATGACAAAGCTGTATGATGCAGTCACATTCTAAATTGTGACCAAACATGCTTTTCACTTGAGTGTGTTTTGTAAAATGTTGAGAAAATGTTATTAAATCAAATTAATGGTAAAATGTATTCAATATATTGACAATATGTATCAGCCTAATATAGTAGCTAATGGTCAGAATTCAGCATCCTTTACAAGCGATAATGGTTTGAGACAGGGAAGAAATTTATCTTTATTTTACTATTTTATGTAAGTTTATAACAACAAGGTCCATTATTGAAACTGCAAGATGAAATAGTACTGAGGTCTAGCAAAAAATGTAGTGATGTGATAGCCAGATTATACAGTGTCAATCACCACCTAATCATAGATGATAATATCAATATACATATTATTATACAAGGCCAAATGCAATTAAGTTTAAAGATCTACAGACATGTTAACATACTGTAAAAGAAATATGTGAAATTATGCGGATAATTTTAGAAATATTTATCTTCCATCGTAGGACATAATTCATTGTATGAAACTGTACATTGTATTATGAAGTTTCTCAATTCTTTACGTGTTTGATATAATTAAATGGATTAAAAATTTAATTTTTACAAATATTCAAACTGTTTATACACAGTAAATTAAACTAACACTATAATACTGATTAGCATTGAGCAATGATCAGTAACCAATTAATTGAAATACGTTACTCTTTTGAGTTATGAGTGGTATATAACGCCTCTGAGGTACAAGTAGTGACTCATTGGAGTTATGAGTGCTATATAACTCCTCTGAGGTACAAGTAGTGACTCCTTTGAGTTATGAGTGGTATATAACTCCTCTGAGGTATAAGTAGTAAGTGACTCTTCTGAGGTACAAGTGGTATATTCATTCCTCTGAGGTACAAGTGGAATGACTCCTCTGAGTTATGAGTGGTATGTAACTCGTCTGAGTTATGAGTGGTACATTTCACTCCTCTGCAATACAAGTATTATTTGACTTCTCTGAGTTATGAGTGTATGTGACTCTTCAGAGATACAAGTGCAAAGTGTCTTCTTAGAGGTACGAGTGGAATGTGTCTCCTCAGAGGTATGAATGGAATGTGACTCCTCAGAGATACAAGTGGAATGTGACTCCTCAGAGGTACGAGTGGAATGTGTCTCCTCAGATACAAGTGGAATGTGTCTTCTTAGAGGTACGAGTGGAATGTGTCTCCTCAGAGGTATGAGTGGAATGTGTCTCTTCAGAGATATGAGTGGAATGTGTCTCCTCAGAGGTATGAGTGGAATGTGTCTCTTCAGAGATATGAGTGGAATGTGTCTCCTCAGAGATACAAGTGGAATGTGTCTTCTTAGAGGTACGAGTGGAATGTGTCTCTTCAGAGATATGAGTGGAATGTGTCTCTTCAGAGATATGAGTGGAATGTGTCTCCTCAGAGATACAAGTGGAATGTGTCTTCTTAGAGGTACGAGTGGAATGTGTCTCTTCAGAGATATGAGTGGAATGTGTCTCTTCAGAGATATGAGTGGAATGTGTCTCCTTGGAGTTACATGTGGTTATGACTCATCTGATTTACAAATCTTTGTCATCTAAAAGACATCAAAAACAACAACAATGTTCACTTGATACATTTTTAATACATTTCGTGAAGATAATGATATATTTTCCTCACTTTCTTTGATTTTTACACCCACACATACATGCCTTGGAATTCTACCAGACTCACACACAGAAAAGAGGAAAAACATACCATCATACCACTACTATCTGTTGTTAATGACAAATCAATAGTTTTTATGCATCTTTATTACTAATGATTGAAAAATAAATATTTCAAACCCTTTAACTTTCCCTAGCTGCGAAGATCACCAAATAATTTGTGTCTGTCAAAATCTTTTAATCTTTCATATCAATATAAATTTTTATGTATTTTATTACTTAATTTTTCTTTCCACTTCTACCCATCTTTTCTTTTTTCTTTTTAACATGCTTAGGGATTTTATTTTTCCTTTTCTCTCTCTGTTCTTCTTTTATTTTTTGTTTTCGTTCCTGAAAAAGAAGAAACAAATATGAGTATACACATGAATTTGTACAATTATATAGAATTATGTTCAAGTTAGAGATTCATTATGGCGCAAATTTTAACGATTTGAAATTCTGGATCTATCAAAATACAATCACGAAATCTTACAGTAGTGAAGGCTGGAGCACAAAATTCAATTCTATATGGATATTCGAAAGATACACCAGAAAGAAATATGAAATACAAGCACTATGAAATTCCCACACACTAGTCGCCATGTTCATATACAATGGAATAGATATAGTGCAAGAAAGGCTAAAATACACAACACAACTTAGCTGTACAATATGTGATTTTACAAACAATTTGAAGGCCCCTGACCTCAACAACAGGTCATAAAATTAGGTCCAACTTCAGCATATGATTGACTGCTATACCAAGTAGCACTCCCATACAAAATGTAGCTGTCACAAGTGAGAAAGAACATGACATCTGTCCTCAACCAAGTTACAGACTGATCAATAGAGGTGATTCCAGATCAGGAATACAGATAAAAAACTAACACAATCTGTCATCCCCTTGTGGTGAAATAGAGGTAGGTAAGTCTGAGGGTGAATATCATTCAGTTGGCAACTTAATAATTTTCCCCAGAGGGTCAGGATCCCCATATCTCACCAAAGAGGAGGTGAATGATTATTATTCTCTAACTCTGCTAGGCCTTTTTCAGGTACCGTAACTGTTTTTGCCATCCCAATGTCATAGATATGAAAGAGAAATCCTTCTGTCTCAACCCTGGGGTGAGACTAGGAAATCTCACACTATTTAAAGTAAGGATAAAGTAAGGTGTTGTCAATGAGATAGAAGACACTTACACTTCCAAAACTTCTTATCTTATTCTCCTTGTCTTTTTCAGTGGTCTCTGTGTTAGTCTTTCTTTTGTTCAAATTTTGCACCAGTTTTATGGAATTTGAGTTTGAATTATGATTATGTTGCCATGTTGGTATTTTTTTGATGTTTTTATACACCTGTCCAAGGTAAGAGAAAAAATAACCCACACCAAGAACATCTGTACCAGTTAGCTGGTTAGTTAATCAGTATATAGTTGAACTAGCCAGCAGAAAGGATTGAGTTTACCTTTTTACTGTTTGGGGATTCATCCCTGGGTCTGTGAGACAATGCTGCTTTCTTCATCTTTTCATCATCATCACTGTCATCACTGTCATTGTCACTAACATTGCTGCTGTCCTCCTCATCTGAATCGATGACACTTTTTTCTGACTCTTTTCCATCAACATGTGTTTCTGTTGTATCTGGTGTTTCCTCTAGTAACACAGGTTTCTGAAAACAAATGAAGTATGAGAATAAATAACAGTAGTTTAAGAACAAGCCAGACCTGTATGTGCTGGTTAACCAATAAAAAAATCATCATTTCCTCTTATTAAATGCTTAGATATCTTTAAGTCCCTTTTTAAGTACTGTCGCTTCTAGTATGTCATAAATCCTTCTGAAATGTTGGAAAGTTTGCTCCATTCCTGCTCCATTCCTGGTTATGCAATACATTACGGCTTTACTATGTAGTATATAATGAGGTACCTTTGAGTATGTTCCCGTTTTCATCATTTTCAATCTCTTTTATCTTTCACCCATCTTCCTTGATATACTATTGCTTCATACTTTAAACATATCCTCTTGATTACCTCCTTTGAAACAATTTTGCTTCCTGCTGTCTACTTATCTCCCCTGATACATGTTTGCTTCCTACTGTCTACTTATCTCCCCTGATACATGTTTGCTGCCTACTTTTTACTTATCTCCCTTGCTACACCTTTGCTTCATACTTTGTACTTATCTCCCTTGATACACAATTGCTTCATACTTCCCACTTCTCCTTAATAAATCATCTCTTCATATATTTCACTGACTTCCCATGATAAACTATTGCTTCATACGTTTTACTTCTTTCTTGTTCATCGCCTATAATTTGATATACTTCAAACTTTTCATACTCCTGTACAATATCTAGCTGTTATCAACCAATTAAACAGCAATCCATCTGATTTCAATGTAAACAAAAATCAAAATATCACAAGCTGTCAAATTTAATGTCTTTTACTTTACCTGCTGGGCCCCTGTTAAATCAGTCTTCAGACCAGTCACTGTCTGGTACAAAATCTACAAATAAAACATTCTGATTGTTACTAATGAAAGGCAAGGAAGAACAGCAAAACAGCATCAACAAGACGCCCAGGTTCCTGTTTTAATGTTGTAGAACCTAATCTTATCACTACCATCTTGTTGTGATGCAGAAATCTCAAAAATCAATAACCATGAAAGAAAATTAATTTCAAAATAATAAAAAAATATCTTTATTCCAGATAGTGTACATATATAAGCAAACACACTTGTTTTTTCAGTATGTACAGAAAGTCAATCCTCACAGATCTCTACCAGTAGTGACATTACCACATATCTCTTTAATACAAAATATTTAATGATCAGACCTCATTTCTGTGCTCTGTACATATGCCTGTAAATGATGCTGTTATCACTCCAGTTTCATCAGGAATCATTAATGATTCCAAAGTTTTGAAGGTATGGACAGGACTTACAAAAAGATTGTACTGCATTTCCAGGTTAAAAGCAGCACCGGTGTTTAGCGACTTTTTCTATCTGATCCACCTATAAGCCACACCAGAATATCAGCTGCAGCTTTTCTTACTATATGGTGACCACTTTTGTTGACATTTGATATACCAGTAACAGATAAAGGAAGGTAGTTCTAATAATGTTCTAACCATTACGTTGACCAAAGTTTGTTGATATAACAGACCACACTGGACAACTTACCAAGATCGTCAGTGAAACATTTAATAAAGCTTGCTAATGTATTATACCTAATAATCCTTTATCTTATTGATCTATTTCAAAAAATGTAAAATGGTAAATATCAGACTCGTTTGGCTGGGGAGCCTTCACAGATTGTGTAGGCACAGATATAGGGCCTGACATTAGGTATGGTTTTCTAAACAATATCTCCATCAGTGTCTGTACTGTTAAATGTTAACAACCCTTGCATGCTAAACAAATTTTTATAGTTTCATTATTTCTTCCTGTAAGTTACATGAAGCCATTCATATCGTGATCAAGCATGATGGTCATTTTAGAATTTGACCTTTAATCCGATGACCTATCGATCTCAGGATGCCAAAGGCTATTGTAAACTTCTGCTATGGCTTCGTAAGTAAGCACAAAAGGCCAGAAAATATTATTGTGATTCATGTTAAATGTCATGATTAATTAAATCCACCAGAATCTTATTTTTGTATCAATATTCAAATCATCCTGTATACGACTGCAAATTATGGTTAAAGATGATCTGTTCAAGTCACAAACACGTGACGTGCAGGTACAGGTAAAAAACTCAGTATTATCTCGTTCTGGTGTACTGGTACTCTTCCTTTTTTTTCTTCTGCCAATTCTTTTTTGTCCACATACAAGTCGCATGCCTGGCTCACCAGGGAAAAAGGTGAAGCTTATAATCCAGAAAACAGGGCAGTTTATGTCATGGAATAAAGAACTTACATGATCGGTTTTCCCCATCTTTGCCTTTGAATAATCACGTTCAAAGTCAATGACTTCATCTAAGGTCCTTGGTATGAAGGCGTTTTTGAAAACCTGTCAAACAAATGCCAGACTGATAGATATACCTGTGTTTCAGTGAATCAATCATATATACATTGTATCTTAGGTATTGCAGACCTGAATCTCTTACAATGTCTATGTCTATGATATAATACAGACACAGAACCACATCCCATTTTTAGTATACAGAACTGAGATAAACACAATATTGATTAAATCATTTCCTAGATTTTACAAGGCTATACCTTCCAAGCAAAAAAACACTAAACTGCCATAAAATACATTTTTTACAGTAATAGGTAATTTTTGAAATTCAATTTTCTATACATTAAGCACTGTTATTTAAGAGGGAGAACTATTTTCACAATTTTTGCGGACTGAAATGGTAAAGAAAAATTATCCCCTTGAAAATAAAAGTCATAGAAAAAATCCTCTGTCTGTATCATGGCTTTTGCCAAAAAACAAAACTTTCTTGCAAACTGTGATAATATACACCAATTTATTGTTTGACCTTTATTTGTTCTATAGAAGTTGGATCTTTTCCCTTATTTCTTTTGTTTTTGGTTTTAATTGTATGAAATTTAAAAATTCCTCTGAAGAAATAGTGATAATAATCTTTAACTGCCAAATTCAAAATGGATGTCTGATCAATTCCAAAATCAAAAACGGCACAATTGGGGATTAAGGGGAACTTATAAATGAAATAAAAGATCCATCCAGTACTTCTGTAGGGATAGTGATAATAAAACATTCATTGTCAATATCCAACATCGCCTCATGTCAATGATTTTGATCAGTTTCTAAATCAAAAGGGCTCAACTAGGGACCAAGGGGAATGTATATATGAAATTTGAGAAACATCCATGAAGACTTTTTTGAGAAATAGTGGAACAATTTTTCATTGTCAAAACCATGATGGCCACCTGTCAGCCATTTAGAATTTCTGATCAGCCCTAAAATCAAAAGGGCAACTAGGGATTAAGGGAACTTCAACTTTCTGAAGCTCATAAGATTCCACTGACAACAATGCACAGCCAGTTTCTATATTAAAATGTGATTTGATTGTAAATTTTTTCACATGTGGCAAAAATTCCTTAGCAACTACAGTCTTTGCCTTTATGATCAGACACACTGGAAAACTGAAATCAAACATTATTACTACTGTAGCAGTGTTAGTTGTACCTGATCATCTATCTTCTGCTGTTCTGTAATATCATCCTGTGTGCGATTGGCTGACACCTCCATCACATGATCCAGGTAGGCATCAATATTATCATCAGTGATAGTCACATCAGTGACAAAGTCAAACAACTCCTTCATTGTCAGTGTACATACTCCCTTCTTCCTGAAGAAATCTAAAAACCATTATGTTGTTTAGTCTCAAATACAGTTGGGTAATTTCAGAACATTCTTATAAAACAACGAGCAGAAGATCCAAATGTGATTTACTATAATCCTATATACACTAAGGTAGAATATAGTGCGATGTGATGGTAAACAGATAATAGACAAAACATACACAACATGGTAACAATGTACTGAAGTCAAATCTGCCATGCTTTCCACAATACTTAAGTGACTGGATAAATTTGTTTGAAGGTTTTTACACCAGACCTCTTTAGCTTTGGGTAAAGATCACTTGTTTGAACAAGTCACAGAACCTTCATGCTTGCAGGCTACTGGGCATATATTCATCTAAAACCTATTGGTTAAGAGGCTTGTACTGGTTGTATGTTCTGCAGTTTACGCAGAGAAAACTCAATTGATGAGATTTTATTCAAGTGACTTCAGAAAAGTAGGTATGGGTTGTCTATGTTTATTCCCAACTCTAATCTCTCTTCTTTCAGTTAAGATCTCATTAAAAATCTGGGCCTCATGGTCATTCAGAAGAAGCTTTTCAAACATTTTGATTTTTAAGGTTGTCCTTCACATTTGAACACCTGATCACACAAACTTACCTGTAATATTGGTGCAGTCTTTTCGAAGGAATTCTAGGGCGTGTGGATGGTCATGCTCCACTGACTGTGATACATCGATTACATATACGTTCCCTTCATGGTATCTGTCCAAACATAATGATCAGATAATACACCTGTTATATGGTTTATGTGGGAAAAAAACTGAAATAAGCCACTGGTAAACAGGCATTGTCAGGTATAGATTGCTTTATAAGACATACATCTTTGAGGGGAATATCTGTAGTGTTTAAAAGTAACAATGTACTGGTAACATAACAGGAACCCTACAGAACAACGTACTGGTAACATAACATGAACCTTACAGAACAATGTACAGGTATCATAACAGGAACTCTACAGAACAATGTACAGGTAACATAACAGGAACCCTACAGAACAATGTACAGGTAACATAACAGGAACCCTACAGAACAATGTACAGGTAACATAACAGGAACTCTACAGAACAACGTACTGGTAACATAACGTGAACCCTACAGAACAATGTACTGGTAACATAACAGGAACCCTACAGAACAATATACTGGTAACATAACAGGAACCCTACAGAACAACGTACTGGTAACATAACAGGAACCCTGTATGATAATGTACTGGTTATATACAGCATATTAAACTAACTGGCGTTGGCGTGAAAAAGGACCCTACAAATCGTTCATTGACACTGGTTTGTTTGCTAGGTTCATTGCCCTACATACAGCCAGTCAAGCTTGTCTCTATCTTACTGAACCACATGTGGAAGGCCCACATCATGCTAGCCAAAACCATTGTGTTAAAGTGTCTTGCCCCAGTACTCAACTAAGACAGCACAGGCATTATGTGATCTCTGCTTCATAAAAAGCACAATCTCTGAAGATTGCTGATGTCTGTATATACGACTTCACTAAAAACTTACAGCATATTGAACTCGCTCAGATCAGCGTGTATAAGTTTACACGTATGATACAGTGTTCGCACCATGTGGATACACTGGAGATACAATTCACGAGCCTTTGAATCGGAGATGTCGCAGTCTTTCAACAGAGGAGCAGGCCTATAACAAAAAAGGAACATGTTTAAATGAGGCAAGCTTGAAATTTCAAATATTGTGATAATTAATTAATTGACTTTTGTATACTTAGAGGCTATCAAGATTAGCTGCAATAAATGTAGGCACCATGTAAAACAAATACTCCATGATGGGAAGGTTTTCACAGAGGTTTTTCCCGCTTTTCATCAAGTCTTAAATTTTACCCAAAATTATATGAAACATAATATTATGTCATTATATCAGTCTCCAATCCAAATTCAGTTTTTCTTTCATCCTATTGGCAAAATGTTAAACCATAAAACTATATACAGTGTAATACATCAGGAGTATTATAATTCCAGTTCAAGAATGATGATAAAGGCTATCAGGTAGATGTTTATGATACCACTTACCAGCCATCTGTTCCTATAAAGTCCATGACAAGGACGTGACTTCGGAGAAACACTGGCTCTGGACACAGAATTCCAGACTGGTGAATCCTGTTATAGAGTAAATAAAGCATTGATCTGAGTACAAATAATACTTTGTATTCCCAACCAAATAATACTTTGTGTTCCCAACCAAAGAATACTTTGTATTCCAAACCAAAGAATACTTTGTATTCCAAACCAAAGAATACTTTGTGTTCCCAACCAAAGAATACTTTGTGTTAAGAATACTTTGTATTCCCAACCAAAGAATACTTTGTGTTCCCAACCAAAGAATACTTTGTATTCCAAACCAAAGAATATTTTGTATTCCAAACCAAAGAATACTTTGTGTTCCCAACCAAAGAATACTTTGTGTTCCAAACCAAAGAATACTTTGTATTCCCAACCAAATAATACTTTGTATTCCAAACCAAAGAATACTTTGTGTTCCCAACCAAAGAATACTTTGTGTTCCCAACCAAAGAATACTTTGTGTTCCCAACCAAAGAATACTTTGTATTCCAAACCAAAGAATACTTTGTGTTCCCAACCAAAGAATACTTTGTATTCCAAACCAAAGAATACTTTGTGTTCCCAACAAAAGAACTCTTCATAAGATAAAGGCCAGGGTGATGTATAATATAGGCAATCTCCTGCTATTGGTAATAATTCTTTATTTGTCCTGTGTATTCTCCAAACATCCAGATATGAAAACAATGTCTACTGACGATGGAGCCAGTCTGTGTAATTTCATAGTGCCATCACACTGAAGTGTTATAACATTGACATGAACGCAATACATCAGACACAATCACATTTGAAAAGACTACCTCAGACTTATCCCTCAAGCACAGAGCAATTAGAATGAATTCTATACACTTTCGTTTTATTTTTAACACTATCTTCGAAAGTGACATTCTGCCAAGTGAGGTGTTATGACAAAAAGTTGTTCAAAAAATGAGAAAGGTCTCATTATGTGTGAGCAAAACACGGGTCAAATGTTACCCTAGTAGCCAATATTCTGTCCTGACGAGTTTATTTACCTAATGAGATTCCTCATTTCCTTCTCAGCCCAGGTCTTCACCATCTTTCTGGGGTTATGTTTACAGTAGCCATGTCTAAATCTGTAAATGTTACAATGATATTATACTAATCATACAGACCAATCAATGCATCGTCACAACACTGTTTAAAATCTATCATTATCATTAATATTAGTATTATCTGGTCCACAGATTGTAAAGATATGTCAATGTGTGGAGGTAGACAGTATAAGTATACATGTGTATTATCTGGTACACAGATTGTAAAAATATGTCAATGTGTGGAGGTACACAGTATTAGTATACATGTGTATTATCTGGTACACAGATTGTAAAGATATGTCAATGTGTGGATGTAGACAGTATTAGTATACATGTGTATTATCTGGTACACAGATTGTAAAGATATGTCAATGTGTGGATGTAGACAGTATTAGTATACATGTGTATTATCTGGTACACAGATTGTAAAGATATGTCAATGTGTGGAGGTAGACAGTATTAGTATACATGTGTATTATCTGGTACACAGATTGTAAAGATATGTCAATGTGTGTGGAGGTATACATGTGTATTATCTGGTACACAGATTGTAAAGATATGTATTAGTATACATGTGTATTATCTGGTACACAGATTGTAAAGATATGTCAATGTGTGGAGGTACACAGTATTAGTATACATGTGTATTATCTGGTACACAGATTGTAAAGATATGTCAATGTGTGGAGGTACACAGTATATACATGTGTATTATCTGGTACACAGATTGTAAAGATATGTCAATGTGTGGAGGTACACAGTATATACATGTGTATTATCTGGTACACAGATTGTAAAGATATGTCAATGTGTGGAGGTACACAGTATATACATGTGTATTATCTGGTACACAGATTGTAAAGATATGTCAATGTGTGGAGGTACACAGTATATACATGTGTATTATCTGGTACACAGATTGTAAAGATATGTCAATATGTGGATGTACACAGTATTAGTATACATGTGTATTATCTGGTACACAGATTGTAAAGATATGTCAATGTGTGGAGGTACACAGTATTAGTATACATGTGTATTATCTGGTACACAGATTGTAAAGATATGTCAATGTGTGGAGGTACACAGTATATACATGTGTATTATCTGGTACACAGATTGTAAAGATATGTCAATGTGTGGAGGTACACAGTATTAGTATACATGTATATTATCTGGTACACAGATTGTAAAGATATGTCAATGTGTGGAGGTAGACAGTATTAGTATACATGTGTATTATCTGGTACACAGATTGTAAAGATATGTCAATGTGTGGAGGTATATACATGTGTATTATCTGGTACACAGATTGTAAAGATATGTCAATGTGTAGTAGTATACATGTGTATTATCTGGTACACAGATTGTAAAGATATGTCAATGTGTGGAGGTACACATGTGTAGTATATACATGTGTATTATCTGGTACACAGATTGTAAAGATATGTCAATGTGTGGAGGTACACAGTATTAGTATACATGTGTATTATCTGGTACACAGATTGTAAAGATATGTCAATGTGTGGAGGTACACAGTATATACATGTGTATTATCTGGTACACAGATTGTAAAGATATGTCAATGTGTGGAGGTAGACAGTATATACATGTGTATTATCTGGTACACAGATTGTAAAGATATGTCAATGTGTGGAGGTACACAGTATAAGTATACATGTGTATTATCTGGTACACAGATTGTAAAGATATGTCAGTGTGTGGAGGTACACAGTATATACATGTGTATTATCTGGTACACAGATTGTAAAGATATGTCAATGTGTGGAGGTACACAGTATTAGTATACATGTGTATTATCTGGTACACAGATTGTAAAGATATGTCAATGTGTGGAGGTACACAGTATATACATGTGTATTATCTGGTACACAGATTGTAAAGATATGTCAATGTGTGGAGGTACACAGTATATACATGTGTATTATCTGGTACACAGATTGTAAAGATATGTCAATGTGTGGAGGTACACAGTATATACATGTGTATTATCTGGTACACAGATTGTAAAGATATGTCAATGTGTGGAGGTACACAGTATATACATGTGTATTATCTGGTACACAGATTGTAAAGATATGTCAATGTGTGGAGATTGACACAGTATAGTATATACATGTGTATTATCTGGTACACAGATTGTAAAGATATGTCAATGTGTGGAGGTACACAGTATATACATGTGTATTATCTGGTACACAGATTGTAAAGATATGTCAATGTGTGGAGGTACACAGTATATACATGTGTATTATCTGGTACACAGATTGTAAAGATATGTCAATGTGTGGAGGTACACAGTATATACATGTGTATTATCTGGTACACAGATTGTAAAGATATGTCAATGTGTGGAGGTACACAGTATATACATGTGTATTATCTGGTACACAGATTGTAAAGATATGTCAATGTGTGTGTACACAGATTGTAAAGATATGTCAATGTGTGGAGGTACACAGTATATACATGTGTATTATCTGGTACACAGATTGTAAAGATATGTCAATGTGTGGAGGTACACAGTATATACATGTGTATTATCTGGTACACAGATTGTAAAGATATGTCAATGTGTGGAGGTACACAGTATATACATGTGTATTATCTGGTACACAGATTGTAAAGATATGTCAATGTGTGGAGGTACACAGTATATACATGTGTATTATCTGGTACACAGATTGTAAAGATATGTCAGTGTGTGGAGGTACACAGTATATACATGTGTATTATCTGGTACACAGATTGTAAAGATATGTCAATGTGTGGAGGTACACAGTATATACATGTGTATTATCTGGTACACAGATTGTAAAGATATGTCAATGTGTGGAGGTACACAGTATTAGTATACATGTGTATTATCTGGTACACAGATTGTAAAGATATGTCAATGTGTGGAGGTACACAGTATATACATGTGTATTATCTGGTACACAGATTGTAAAGATATGTCAATGTGTGGAGGTACACAGTATATACATGTGTGGTACACAGATTGTAAAGATATGTCAATGTGTGGAGGTACACAGTATATACATGTGTATTATCTGGTACACAGATTGGAAAGCTATGTCAATGTGTGGAGGTACCCAGTATATACATGTGTATTATCTGGTACACAGATTGTAAAGATATGTCAATGTGTGGAGGTACACAGTATATACATGTGTATTATCTGGTACACAGATTGTAAAGATATGTCAATGTGTGGAGGTACACAGTATATACATGTGTATTATCTGGTACACAGATTGTAAAGATATGTCAATGTGTGGATGTACACAGTATATACATGTGTATTATCTGGTACACAGACTGTAAAGATAGGTCAATGTGTGGAGGTACACAGTATATACATGTGTATTATCTGGTATTGTAAAGATACATGTGTATTATACATGTGTATTATCTGGTACACAGATTGTAAAGATATGTCAATGTGTGGAGGTACACAGTATATACATGTGTATTATCTGGTACACAGATTGTAAAGATATGTCAATGTGTGGAGGTACACAGTATATACATGTGTATTATCTGGTACACAGATTGTAAAGATATGTCAATGTGTGGAGGTACACAGTATATACATGTGTATTATCTGGTATCTGGTACACAGATTGTAAAGATATGTCAATGTGTGGAGGTACACAGTATTAGTATAAATGTGTATTATCTGGTACACAGATTGTAAAGATATGTCAATGTGTGGAGGTACACAGTAGTATATACATGTGTATTATCTGGTACACAGATTGTAAAGATATGTCAATGTGTGGAGGTACACAGTATATACATGTGTATTATCTGGTACACAGATTGTAAAGATATGTCAATGTGTGGAGGTACACAGTATATACATGTGTATTATCTGGTACACAGATTGTAAAGATATGTCAATGTGTGGAGGTACACAGTATATACATGTGTATTATCTGGTACACAGATTGTAAAGATATGTGTGTCAATGTGTGGTACACAGGTAAAGATATGTCAATGTGTAGGTACACAGTATATACATGTGTATTATCTGGTACACAGATTGTAAAGATATGTCAGTGTGTGGAGGTACACAGTATATACATGTGTATTATCTGGTACACATGATGTGTTGTATAAGATATGTCAATGTGTGGAGGTACAGTATATACATGTGTATTATCTGGTACACAGATTGTAAAGATATGTCAATGTGTGGAGGTACACAGTATATACATGTGTATTATCTGGTACACAGATTGTAAAGATATGTCAATGTGTGGAGGTACACAGTATTAGTATACATGTGTATTATCTGGTACACAGATTGTAAAGATATGTCATTGTTTGGAGGTACACATTATATACATGTGTATTATCTGGTACACAGATTGTAAAGATATGTCAATGTGTGGAGGTACACAGTATTAGTATACATGTGTATTATCTGGTACACAGATTGTAAAGATATGTCAATGTGTGTACACAGTATATACATGTGGTACACAGATTGTAAAGATATGTCAATGTGTGGAGGTACACAGTATATACATGTGTATTATCTGGTACACAGATTGTAAAGATATGTCAATGTGTGGAGGTACACAGTATATACATGTGTATTATCTGGTACACAGATTGTAAAGATATGTCAATGTGTGGAGGTACACAGTATATACATGTGTATTATCTGGTACACAGATTGTAAAGATATGTCAATGTGTGGAGGTACACAGTATTAGTATACATGTGTATTATCTGGTACACAGATTGTAAAGATATGTCAATGTGTGGAGGTACACAGTATATACATGTGTATTATCTGGTACACAGATTGTAAAGATATGTCAATGTGTGGAGGTACACAGTATTAGTATACATGTGTATTATCTGGTACACAGATTGTAAAGATATGTCAATGTGTGGAGGTACACAGTATAAGTATACATGTGTATTATCTGGTACACAGATTGTAAAGATATGTCAATGTGTGGAGGTAGACAGTAGTATACATGTGTATTATCTGGTACACA